ACATGGACGTTCTATAAAATATCTTGCTTAGTCACACAAACGGTGGAAATGAACTCCTGCCAGGGAACAAAATTATTTTTACCGAGTGCAATTTTTCTGGATCCAACCGTCCAGTATGCTTGAACCGCCTGGAGCTCGAGGTATACAGATATGGTGTGCAGTGCGGGCACAAGATTGGCAGAAGTCCGTATCTGCATTTACCCTCTGTAGTGGTAAATTACCTATAATTGACAAATTTCAATACCTCTAGGAAGTGGTTACAGCTGAATTCGGTGTTGTATAAGAGACCTAATTCATGATTAGAGACGGTCACAGCTACTTTTGCCAACTTGTCACATCTGGGGAGACCGCCACGACATCTATCACAACCATCGCAAAGCGAAATACGGTGAGGTGGAATTCACTGATCAATGCTCAACTCACATTGTATGTAGTGAAATATTTTTGATTCGTTGTTGTTTTATATTGTTTACTAAGTTTGATTATGTTGGCTGTTTGCTTCTCTTGTAGCTAATGGTTCGTTATTAGAGCAAAAAGTTTTATAAAATTACCTCTAATTCTTGAATCTGGTTCGCCGACTGTTTAAAGCATCGAAAGCAATAAAAACGAAAGTGTAACTCGCAAGCTGCAGAGGGAGTGTGGGAAGGAACAAAGTGAAACTATAATAAACAAAGAGTACACAATATTACTGTAAACAAACACATCTTTACAAACACTCAGGACTAACAAGAAGGTCACTATTATTGGCCTGTTATCATATCTAACTACTCAGTTACTGATTCTTTCGGACCACAGCTCTACCTTATCACTCTGTGAACTTCTTCATGCCTTGTCTCAATATCGTCTGTTGACTCCCACAGGGTTTCTCCAGCCAGGAGTAGTAAATAACAATAAGACGTGGTGCAGTAGACGACTGTTAGGCATGCGTCATACGTGCAGTTCAGTTTCAATTTAGTTTTTACAACCATTAACTATGAAGTTTCGTGCACGGGTTTCGGTTGCTGTCTGTTGCCCACCCATTTGGACAAAAGAACAGAGTGGAGATTGGAACGTTGACAGCAAACTCAAAGGGAAGAGAGAGAATTCATCTGGACTGTAGTTGAAATAGTGAGTAGATTTACGGGCGCCATTATTTGCGAAAGCCATATCACTCGGCGTCTCTAACCACCGATTACAATGATCTCGGGATCCTCTTCTATAGAGACTAACAGGACCTGTGTGACTCAGTCTCCTAGTTAGGGTTTTCACAGCCTCATGTCTTAGTTTGATCACTCTTGACCTTTAACTATCCGATGCCTTCCTCGGCAAACACTGATTGCCGTCGTAACCAATTTGGTGCAATACATGTCCACCATCGTAGTCTATGGAGGTCAACCATTTGATCCAGTGGACGACCGCGACTACCTAAAACTCGAAGCTTAACTTCAACATTGCTTGTCCGGTTTGCCCACCAAACTCGTGCAATACGACGCAGACCGCGGTGTTCGAAAACCGACAGTGTAATTTTATCTTGTTCCTGTAATGGCCAAGTCTTTTTTAATACACACCTTAGTGTGATGAACCGTAGACAGGGTAAACCCCATGGTCACAAGGACCTGCTGTTCAGTGATGGAAACCGGTAACCTAAAACCTTAAAATAATCTGCTCAGAGATCCAGCAGCTGCACTTTACTGTGAATGTATTGACCAATTTTATGGTAGCTGATTTCACTGATCGGTATGCGATGACTTTCTGTGCTGTGTATTAGATGAAACAGTGGTTGGCCATTTCCGGATGCAGTGACTACTTCCATTCCACTCATTATTTTGGTTCATCAGTTTTCACGATCTTACCTATAGCATTTTCTGAGTTGAAACGATTTAATCCTAAATTGATTTTGGCAGATTTCGCTCTTCTTCCAACAAGACAACTGACTCCTGAGAGATTCAGTATCCTCAACGAACTTCAGGCTGGGCTCCAACAGAAAAGTTTGCTGCCGAAAGAATTGCACGTCTAATTTAATCCCACTGTTGATCCATTGCCCAAAGTTGAGGTGCTCTTAGATCCTCCGGACATTTTTCCTCGGTCACGCAGATAATGATGAACCAGACGGGGCGGCGACCGACGAATCAAAGCTTGAGGCGCATTACAACTTCCCGCATCCGACCACCCCCTGTGAGGCATCAATTGTCTGAAGGGAACATCGGGAGGCCGATTGCTTGGCTCGTCGTTTTGTGCTGAGTATAGATAGTAGCTCTGCACCGTCCTCGATGGTTCAGTTACGTTTCGCGTACCCCTGCCCATCGTTTACCTCTCGGTTCTCTGGTTGAACCGGTTCGGCCAAAACCGAAAGAAAGGTCAGATTAAGATATGGTGTCGGGGTGTGGAGAATTTAACGTCAGCACTGGAGTCAGTAGGTACAGCTGGCGTTCTAAGTTGGGGCTCAAGGGATGATTATTGTTAACTGGAGATGTGGAGATGAGTCCCTGGCGCACACATGGCTAGATCTGTTTATTGAAATCCGGAACCCGATTAATACAAAACATCAAAATGCGCACGGTGAAACAAACGAACAAACATATTTTCCTTGTTTTTCTTGGTAATTTACTTTTTTACTGTACTACGGCTGGCTCCTTGGAAACGATAAGCGGACTCCATGAATGCTTCTGATTGCCGCCACAGAAGACAATAATAATAAAGTTACTTGGAAGTTTGGTACGGCGTTTTATTTTGAGGGCGCACCTCTAACCGTTGCAC